CAAAATCATGCTTGCTTCATCGACTATCAATGCGATTTAATAGATATCTGGACTGGCGTCTGTGGCTGTGTATCGGAATGACAATATGTGCCGTTTCACGCGCTCGACTTGGTTTCGAGTTCTGTTTCGTGGGGCTGATAAGATCCAGGCAGGGTTGGAGCTGTTGTATAGCTTGGATGATAACAAATTTTGGGAGGCAAGGTTAAGTAAAATTAAATAGTATCCTAAGGTATGGCCTTAGGGTTGAGACCATTGGATTTCACTTAAATTTGCTTTCCCTAAGTTATTCTTATACAGGGTGACTGTACTTCCGACCTCGCCTGTCTTTCATCAGAACCCCCTTCGGGATTCCTGCCCAAGTTGTCCAGCATCTCTTTTCGAAATGTCACCACTCCGCTCCCAAGTATGCTAGTTGGTCACATGGCAGACATGATTTATAGGGAAAGCAAGACATCTCCTAATCTCATTTTTAGGGACATTTTAGATGAAGGAAACTTGTATTTTGGTCATGGAAAGTGACTACGTCCTTTATATTGATAGTTCATGTAATCTTCAAATTATACTCTTCACTACTCTGATTCGATTGCCATTAGAGTTATTGGTGATAATCAGGCCAAATTGAGACTGCAGTCTGCCCTAAATGACTACCTCCTGGGAGGCTGGGATCAGTGAAATTCAATGCTAATGGGAGTTTGCAAAAATTCAATTATCAGTCGTTCATAACTTTATACGACCTGGATAGATTACAGATTTTATTCATAATCTAAGTACGCTGGAATACGAGGTTTCAAATTACCTATTTGCCTGTCCATTCCTTGGTGCCCTAAAATTCATGTTAGAATTTGCGTATAAGATTTTTTTATTTGCATAAATGCAAAAAAAAGTAGGTATACCTTTTGGTAGTGGTAGTTGTGCCCTCTGAGATGGTTAATTTGAGCCTTCTAGCCCATTCTTTGTTCTTTCATTATCCATGAAACAGTTTTTGAAACTTGTACTTGGAAAAACGGCATTGCTCTGCTCCTTCTTTTCCAAGGCATTCAAACGTTGCTCGCTAAATTAACACAAACTGTTATGCAGAAAATTGGATTACCGAACTTAGCACGGAATAATTTATTCCTAGCAGATGCGCATGAAAGCGAACAAAGACTAATTTCGACCGCTTTTTTTATTAGACCAACAACAAGTCTGCCCACAATGAATTGAAAGTAATACTTGACTTTTGCATTGCATTGTCACGTTATCATGCACCTCAAAAGGCCGCTCTTATCCAGTTGGACTGCTGCTTCGACTTAACATAGGTTTTATCCACAACCACTCTTCTATCCAAAAGTATACTATGATCTTTATATCCAGGTACATATGCTCTGCTTAATTCTAGATTACTGCCATATTAAGCCACTCGTGAATTGGGCGAATTATTGCCCAATCAACTAGGACAATATCCAAGAGAGAATTAAGCCATAACTTATTTGCATGTGCCTTCTTATTCACTTTTAACTCACTTATCATACATCTCTTGAAAATACTTAACTTATATTTACAGGAAGTTATCGAACAATTGGCTATTGCAGAACAAACCGAGGCTCAGATTGATACAGCACGCGAGGGATACAGGCCTTGTTCTCAACGAGCCGCCATCCTCTTCTTCGTCCTCAATGACCTAGGCTTAATAGATCCGATGTACCAGTTTGCACTTGATGCTTACATCGATCTATTCAACTTGAGCATCGAGAAGAGCCCTCGCTCCCCCAAGTTAGAGGAGCGCATCCTGCATCTGAATGATTATCATACATACTGTGTCTACCGGTACACTTGCCGAGGGCTTTTTGAGCGACATAAGCTCCTCTTTTCTTTTCACATATGCCTTAAGATACTTGAGGCTGCCGGGAAGCTTAATCAAGAGGAGTACAACTTCTTTCTTCGTGGCGGAGTGGTGCTTGATCAGGAAAATCAAATGGACAACCCTTGTTCGACTTGGCTGTCTGACCAGTCCTGGGACCATATCTCGGAGTTAGACAAACTCGCCAACTTTCACGGCCTTGTCACCTCTTTTGAGCAGTACGCACGAGACTGGAACCTTTGGTACACTTCAGCAGAACCCGAAACAAGTCAACTGCCTGGTGAATGGGACAATACGACTAATGAGTTCCAGCGCATGCTGATTGTTCGATCACTGAGACCCGATCGCGTGTCATTCTGCGCCACGGGCTTCATCGTCAATAATCTGGGAAGCCGGTTCGTAGAGCCTCCAGTTCTTGAGATGAAACAGGTTCTAGAGGACAGCACCACTCGCACACCACTTATCTTCGTCCTTTCGCCTGGAGTTGATCCTACTTCTAGTCTGCTTGTGCTAGCAGAGAACTGTGGGATGGCAAAGAAATTTAACTGTCTATCGCTGGGCCAAGGTCAAGCTCCCATCGCAACCCGTTTGATCCGCGAGGGCGTTCGAGAAGGAAATTGGGTCTTCCTAGCAAATTGTCATTTGGCCCTCTCTTGGATGCCGATGTTAGAAAAGCTGGTGGAAAATCTGGCGACCGACGAGCCTCACGCAGAGTTCCGTCTGTGGCTATCCTCTAGCCCGAACGCTGCGTTTCCCATTTCTATTTTGCAAGCCGGAATAAAAATCACTACAGAACCGCCCAAAGGAATAAGAGCAAATATGAAGAGGCTCTATCATCTGATTAAGGTAAGCCCTGACTAGTTATTGTTAAGACTTTGCCTGCTAGACGTAGGACAGATGATATTGAACTAATACTTAGGCTACGCAATCTATTTGACAGTTGTACTTTCATCATTACAAGTAATTCACTCTTATACCTATTTCTGATGAGATACGGCTCCATGGCGATAAGTAGGGTGCCAAGCTTTTTAATTGTAAACTATTTCTGCATCCACTTCAAAATATTCATCATTGCTGGATTTTTAGTAAGTTAAATGCGC